CTATTAAGTCGATTAATTTCTAAGTCGATCTTATTTTACATGTCAAATTGTTATGTTTTCCATTAATTAACAGTCTGTATAATTTTATCTAAATCAAAACAATTTTTCAGTGTCTTTTTTTATTTGACTTTAAGGGCAAGTTCAACTGTAAAGTTAAATTGCCCTAGATGCAAATTATTATCTTTGCTTTTGTGTTCCCTTTGTGAGTGTACATTTATTGCATTTGATTTAAAAAACCAAAAATGAATATCTTTCTGTATATCAAATGTCTGTTATTGTATTTACAGATAATTTGTACACTTCTATACTGTTGTTAACTATACAGTAGATTACACATTGTATCAGATTGATTTTGTATCTAATGACTAGAGAAAAAAGCTCCTTTAACTTTTTTATCTGAAATTGATATGTTCACATAGCATACATACAATATGTATACATAGCAAGCAGCAACAAATTAGAATTCCTGCTATAAATTTGTGTTCAGGTGAATACAACTTGCAGAAGGGTAAATTATGTTTAATACTACACTCATTTCCTACTTAAAATATACTGATTGATTGCTTCTGTTTCAAAATCTTCAAAATCAAAAGCTTCAAAATCAGACACGCGAGTGTGTTTAATCAACAACATGCAAAGAGTACCCACATTTGGTCAAATGAATCTGGTTAACAAATTTATTACTTTTACTGTTATTTTTATTAATACTGTATAATTTAGTATTACAAGTTATGCTGGTGCATCAGGACAATTCTCTTTGAAAAACATGTTATTGCCCAATCATTGGTTAAAAAAACAATTTTTACTGTGCTAATACTGGGGTTCTATTTGTGGCAAAGACAAGCCAAACCAGTCACTCGTCGCAAAAATCGATTTTGAGTTATTAATACAGTGTTAGAGAGTAAAATAATAGCTATAAAATGGTAAAAAAATCATTTAAATTGGACATTTCCTCATGAAGTTACAAGCTTTTAACCACACAGTTTAAAGAACAATATATGAGAAATTCACTGTCATAGTTTATGATTTCAGGCATTTCTCATGCAGAAACTATCTTTAAATCCTTAAAAAGTATTGTTTTCACATTGAAAATGGGGAAAATAACAGCATAAAATGATGTGTAGATATATAAAGTTTAGTTTAGTGCAATAAAAAAGATTTTTAAAAATTAGACATTCCAGCATGTTTTGGCCATTTTCTCTGAAACACGATTTGCGACGAGTGACTGGTTTGGCTTGTCTTTGCCACATTTTAATAGTCTGCATCAGATTATCAGTCAAAACTTTCAGGCACTGAATTTAAATACTCTGTGGGTGGACATAAACAACAAGGATAACTATCTTGCCCTTGCCCAAGGGCAAGTAAAGCAAGTCAGCTTCAGACTTGGAACACCAATATGTAGAGAACTGTGTCCTCGACTAACTCCTTCATCGTATACTTCATCAAAAATTTTCTAAAATGACCGATAGTTGTGGGGAATAAACAGATTTACAGTACTCCCACTCACCCTGAAGTGTCTGATGATTTTAAAAGTCACTGCACAAGAGACGCACCTATTTTATAATCTTTCTTGAACAGGGCCAAGAGCGATGAGTGTTGGAATGGCGCCATGTAGAAGATTGATTTGATTGGATTCTACGCAAAGCATAAATCACTATCACCCAACTTGTCATTTTCCCATCATTTGTACAGTATTTTTCTCATCATTTTTACTGTAAAATCTTCAGTCCAGCTGTTATTTATATCTTGATCAAAACTGACTGATTGCTTAAACCCAAATATATTTATTAAATGTTATTCTATAGGAATGTGTGCCTTCCTTCCTGTTTCTTATATTTATAATTCATAATCAAGTGCATAGAATTTATAAAATAGTGCTACTATAGTACTGTACTATTTTATAAATTAAAGTGCAATTGAATATTTCTATGGCTTGTAGAAAGGATAAAAAACCGTATTCTCAAAGAATTTCATCCGGTTCCATAAATATAGTATAGAATTATCTGTTTTATTGAACCAATATCGTTGCTTACCCTAGCAACGGTTTCAGCAACTACTTCGGTCACTTTCTTCATGCTAATGAACCCTTGATTGAATTGGGTGCCATATTAAATGCAACAGTTTAAATACAACATAATAGGCACTAACAGTCTTATAATGCCAAATTGGGTGTTAACGTGTATAATTAAGAATATAATTAGTGGATATTTTAGTAACTACCTTTTAATTTTTTGTAATTTTCTGTGAGTACAATTGCTTGCAATTTGATACAATAAGAATCATTTCATATGAGGTGATTTTTAAATAAGTATTTTTATACAAATTGATTTAAACATGAACAACATTTATATAATTCATTATTTTGATATAGCTTTATTTTAATAATTAAAAGTATGGACCTTAATTATTTCAAATCCTCACTTCTTTAAGTTGTCATGAAGTGGTTTTGTGTGAGAGTGTAGTTGTGTTATAATTAATACAAAATATTAGGCCCTATTAAAAAAAATTATTAGTTTATCACCCTATCAAAGAATAAAACTGATGAGTAAGGGAGGTTTTTGTTTTGTTTTTTTTAACCTAAGCCCACCCCGTTTTTTGCTGGTAAATTAATAGTTTAATAAAAATATATAAAAATCATAACATTGGAATCAAATTTATATAAAAAATATGTTTTTGTTGTACCAGTAAACATATTTGCAAGAAATCCTGAGCTTTTCAAGTGAAAAAAGTAGAAAAAAATGATCGTTTGAGAAATATATGTTGATTTAAAAGAAAAAATCAGAATTTTCCCAAAAGTGATGAGGGAGTGGGTGATAAACTAATAATTTTTTTTATGGGCCTTACATATTTTATGACACCATAAAACCTCCATCATGCCTAAGCCTACACCAGGCCCACGTACGCAGCAGGCTAGATAAAGCCTGGAAGGCTTGAACTGGGAAGTAGGCTATAGCCTAGACATTGACCTGCAACAGTTGCGGTGTCGCGTCCTCCTCCTACGTAGCCCGTTTCCTCCTACGTAGCCCGTTTTCAATGGTATCGGAGTACCGTATCTTCAGTTGTGGCATGGAGTTCCATGGTTGTGGGGTACATAATGGTTTGATTAGTAGCAGTTGCATCCCAAATGCTGTATACTATAGTAGATGTTTACATTATTGGGTAGTTTAATAATTATATTATGATAGATTTTAAATTTGTGTTTGTACCTTGTGTAGAAAATGTGAAATTTAATGAGTTTTGGCTTTCAATTGTATGTTGAATTGAAGCCTTAAAAAGGTCGATATTTTTCGAAACCAAAAAAATATTGAACCGAGATCTTAGTTTTTATCATCATTTAAACTTATAATTTAGTTATTCAAACATGTTTTTTTAATATTATTTAGTGCCAAAATAACCACATTTTCAACACATAAAAAATTGTTAAATTTTGGCCATTATCCATGACATGCGCCCTCACAATGAATGAAGTTAATGATGCGTGACCAACGTGGCTCTCCGACTGATTACTAGGCCTACGCACTATGATATACAGTAAGCCTACTGCATCAGTACATCAGACAGCTAATAGAAAGCTACTACACATCATGATGTACAGTATACTCAATACAGTACATCACTGTGGCTAATAAACCAAATTACTACTCTTCGCGCCATGATGTGCAATATGCTCCGTATACAGTACATCACGTTGGCTAATAGCAGACCACTGACATTTCCATCACAATGCATTGTATGCTCCATACGGTACATCGTGGCGGCTAATGGATTCTACGCACCAAACTCCATACAGTACAGTACATCACAAAACTATATAGACTACAAGTGTACCGATGCAGTGGCGTATCTAGAAGTCTTGAAATGGGGGGGCTGATGGGGGGGCGCGAAGGTTAAAGTGGTTAAGTGGATGATCAGTTGAGAGCGCTAATTCGCAAAATAAGGTGATTTTAGGTGATTTTTAACTCCCCCCTCTTGATCCCCCCAATACTTCACTGTTGTGATGTACAGTATACCCCATAGAGTACATCAAGGGGCTACTAATAATAATAAATTACTCTCGTTAGCAGACTAAAATCTAAAATGCCATCGAGGAGACGCTCGCTTTTTACAGTACACATATTATCACAATTTGTGAATATTAACAAGTATGCATCATTGACTATAGGGCATACTGTACAGGGACAACAACATCTACACACCTACAGTACAGTTTATTTACTCCCAAATTCTACAAAAAACAATTTTAATTTGAAACAGTTTTGAAAAATAAATAATGTACTGTACATGATAATGTGCAGATTTTTGTAATCTACTTTATTTGTTTCCTAAAATTTTCATCCAGATTTTTTGTTTTGAAGTAATTAGTCATGTAGCATGTAGCCATAGTAAAAATATTCTGCATATGATCCTGTTACAGTATGTGAACATTATTTCAGATTGAAATGATACTGTCACATAAAGTACAAAATTAAACAACAAAAAATATGCCTACAGACTTTTATTTACCTCTTGTGCGATCCCTTTAACTTAGCGTTTGGTGTCCGAATGTAAAGTGTTAAATTATTTGTAACTTTAGTATCTAAGCATTATACATACTGTAGAAATTCTTTTTGCTCTAGGATACTGTCACATAAAGTACAAAATTAAACAACAAAAAATATGCCTACAGACTTTTATTTACCTCTTGTGCGATCCCTTTAACTTAGCATTTGGTGTCCGAATGTAAAGTGTTAAATTATTTGTAACTTTAGTATCTAAGCATTATACATAGAAATTCTTTTTGCTCTAGGATACTGTCACATAAAGTACAAAATTAAACAACAAAAAATATGCCTACAGACTTTTATTTACCTCTTGTGCGATCCCTTTAACTTAGCGTTTGGTGTCCGAATGTAAAGTGTTAAATTATTTGTAACTTAGTATTTAAGCATTATACACAGACTTTTTGACAATATTTTTTTACGGACAATTGAATTTTCTTTATCTTCACCCCCAAAAAACAGGAAAGTACATCTCGGTATAATTTGCGAAGTCGTTCTAGAAATAACCGCCAGAATCCAGTACTAGAATCCGAAACTCCAGAGATGTTCACCAGGTTTCTAGAAATGCGTCAGAGGTTGCTTCAGGAGGGGAGGAGGCAAATAAATTCTCAGCAACCACGCAGTCCCTACACTCCAAATTAGAGATAAAAATTCATACGTCCATTCATATTTGTAAGTACACTATTTCATTTGTTCGAATTTTTTTGACAAGACAATTTTAATGGGTGCTTTTTATACTTAATGGTTATTGTTCATCTGACATTTCCACACTATTAGTGATGGACGATGTGACATTAGGGAGCTTTTGATAATTGCACAATGACAGTAAGACCTGGACGTAATGATGTCACTAAAAGTCATCTGCACATGCGAGAACGTTGACTTCTTACGGTCACTTGGAATCTAGGATGGAATTTGGCCAAATCTACGTATGCAGAGAACGTAGGACGCCAGGTAGAATGGTCATCATGCATGTCGAAAGCTTTCTGTTGTCTACCACTTGTAAACTATGGTAGCGCACGTTTCACGTTCCCATGGAATCTTTTCTTCTGACAACCGTCGGAGCAGTGGGCACAAACGGCTTAGGGTGTGTTTGAGATCTACACACCAAGTTCATGGAAAAGGTTATAGATTGTCACACAGTGTTATTCAGGGAAAATAGTTAGGTAGTCATTAAACTTAAACAATTTTCCCATCAACCCCACTTTTTTTAAAACTTTTTTTGCTCTGTTCACGTTGACTCTGTCCATGTCGACAGCAAGTCAGTGAATTCTTTCGTGCTTACCCAACGCAATGCTTCTCCATTGACTGTTGATCAGCAGATAATTGTTGAAACTGTCTGGATTGCTTGATGCACTGTTTATTAATGTTCAAAATCATGTGGCAGCGTGTTCACAAATGACCTGGTATTCAACCTTGTGAAGCTGGCAATTAGTTTCAATCTGTTGAGACTAGTGGCGAGTCAACATAAATTGTATAAATTTTAGGCCTACTAAATTTGAGTTAACGATTCTATTTTTTAAAATTTTAATCTTTCCCATGTTTTTTCTCAGTTGTTTTTGTCTAGTATCCTGGGGTTCGCTGTGATGCTTCCTGCTTGGGAGAGTTTGTATGCCCTATGGTCCGATGCTGCTTTCATCAGGTGGGGTAATATGCATGGAAGATGCCCAGGGGTGTGAGTTGCCAGTCATTTGTGGGTGTCTTTAGTTTAATTGATCTGTTTGTTGATCTGTTGATTATTTTTTGGGGTTATTTTTTTGTGGTTTATTTGTAATATCACTAAATTTAATGATATTTTATAAATTTGAAAACAAGTATAATTTTGTCAATAAATGCCTTAATTTACCATTAGGTGACAAGGACTGAATTTTTTAATGAAAATGTAAGATACCAATATATTAGGGTTTTAGAGATACTCGTAAATGATTGAAAAGTATTTCTTAAAATAGTTGCCACTCTCAAAGAAGCATTGAACATTATTTTTTAACTATTGTATTACAGTATTATAGAGAGATATATATATCTATATATATAGGGGTATATTTCCCACAGAAGAACTGCTTTCTCACAAATGAAGTAATGCCAACGCTGTAACAAATCAGATACACTTACAAATCATAATTACCATTTTAACATTCCAATAATGAGTAATAAGACCTACTCCTGAATAAGTGTTGCACTAAAACCTCTACAGTGCACTATAGTAGTTTTGATTGGATGAAATGACATTATAGTTGTTTTTTTTGCAATCTTCAGGGCATCATAACAACAATTTACATCCAGGGAAACAGTTTCTTAATGACCTCAGGATTGATTAAAGATGTATTGTCCCCCAAAATTGACAAAAAAAATCATTAAAAAAAATTAACTTGCTCAGTTTTCAGTAACATACAAATTAAAATTAACTTGAGAATAGGAAATATTGAATAAAAAACAAAGTTTAACCTAAATTTTATACTAGAATATGATTAGAACAGTGAGTGGAAATGTTTTTATAATTTTTTTGCTGTAAAAATTATGAGTGACCTTTTTTTTTTAAAATATTGTACACTAATTTCTATGTTCAAGTATTTATGTTACTTTAAAATGAGCAAGTTATTTTCAAAAATGATTTTTGATAAGTTTAGTATTTCTTTTGGCACAATACATTTCCCCTCTTAAATGTATATCAATAGTATCATTTTTTTTTTTCATATACAGTACTGATGTTAAAAACATGGATAGGTGAACAAATTTTAAGTTTCAGATACAGTACAGAGTCAACATTGGTTGCCAAGTGCTTTGTTGTTCACTCTATGACTATCAGTGACTGGAAATATGCCAAAGCCTTCAAATATAAAGTTATATTAAGTTAATATTAAGCCCACTCCTTGGATATTGTTGTAAGGTCCCACAAAATGGAAGTGTAAAAATATACGCATAAATGTGCGTTTGTAGAACACGCTCTTATTCCTGGCTCTCTTCTAATAGGTCAGTTTTTTAGCTTAATTGACATTCCGGAAAAAGGTCAATGCTGGAAGAACATTTTTAGACAAACAGTACTACATACTTTCATGCTTTCACGTTTCCACTTTTATTTCACCTGAACAATAGCACTGTGTTTGTATGAAAAGTTGTGAATTAATGAATTTTCACTTGTTACCGTAGTGTCTATTAAAAGTGTGCTACATAATACAATAATTCACAAATTTGAAATATCATCGCTGAGTATAATGATGGCTGTAAGTCATCATTACTTTAAGTCACTCGTACTGTTTGAGGAAAAGGTCATTAATTCAAGAAATTACAATCACAATTATTCTAAGATAAATCCTTTCTAGAAATGAAAATAATTACTGCCAGTGCAGATGTCTATTGCATGACAATGTTAAATTATTTTCAGAAATCTTAAGTATAATGTGACAGTAACTAATTGTTTTTGTATAAAAGTATATCATCATGCAGTAAATGAGAAATTAAGTTGCTCAATACATAACTAATTCAATCTGTATCTTTTGCAATATATTTTGTTCTATTTTTAACCAAATAATTTAAGCAATGCAATTAATCAACATACGTGTTATGTTCCGATTTTGACCTAATCATTTGAAAAAATAGAACAAAAAGTAGATTGCATCTATCACTATTAAATTGTAATGTCTCACCCAGTTTCGTTCGGTTAGCCTAGAAGAAAGTTACATTCCGGGGCTAGTACACGAAGTGTATGCTAATACTGGATACTGTTTGACCACCGATTCGTCTGTGGTAACCATCTTCATGATAGTTTTAACTTTTAGACAGGCAAAGGAAAATTTAATTAATTCTATTTAAAAGCATTGAATTTTTTTTTTAATTGCCGAAAATACAATTCAATCATGCCTTAATAAGCCGTAAAATTTAGGGATTAAACCTGTTTAGTGCGAGCAGTGCTACTGTATGTGCAAGGTGTTGTATACTATTGCGATCATATAGGTTGCAGTGGTGGTGCCATCTCCGACAGGCTGGTACCTTCGTCAGGGGGGGTTAGTACCCCGCTGTAGCAGCACTCTTAACTTGCATTGTTTTCTATCAAGTTATCTTTTTTAAATAAAGAATCCCATAATTAAACACAAAATTTGCTAGGCTTCTCTGGTGGGGAGGGCTTGGACCCCTCATTGGGGAATTTCTGGCACCACTCCTGGATAAAATAATATTATTATCACTCCTATCATAGTGAGATAATTTGAAATGTAGAATGTTTATGGAATGCCTTCAATACTGTAAGTCTATACCAAGTTTGATATCTTTAGAATTTATAAATTGTTTGTAAACTGTATGGAGACCTCCATGATGTATGAAGCCTATGGATATAGAATGTAGTGGACAGTACTCTCTGCTGTATATTATAATTATTATTTGTTTAAAATTTAATAGAATGATTTTGCTGTGAATTAATTTTAAATTAATTTTTACTGGTACTGGTATGGGCATTTATAATGCACCTCTTCCTTTAGCTTATAAAGTGCAGTTCTAAATGATTTTTGATAATTTTAGTATTTTTAATGGGTTTTTAATGGCACAATACATCTTTAACTAATTTCCCTTTCTTTAATTATATCAATAGTATCATATTTTTTTATTCAAATACAGAGTCAACGTTGGTTGTCAGTGTTTTGTTGTTCACTCAATGAGTTATCAGTGACTAGAAATATGTTTTTGTTTTGCATTATTTATGGAATTTAATAATTCCATTTGTTATTCAAGGTTGTTTTGCCTGCAGAATGTTATTTAATCCTATTTCTGTGCAATTTAATATGTTTATAGGGACATAAATTTTGTATGAAGTAAAGCAATATTGCATGCTTTGTCAGAACTCTGGCAGGAATGCATTCAGAGCAATCAATGGTTATGGATTTAGAAGATACAGTATGACGTGCCTCAAATGTGTGACACACATCAATCGTTATCAAGAAACTTCCAAATAGCTTCCAAGTTTCAAAACTTTTATAAGCAATTACAGGGTTATACGGTTGGGAATTGTATTGTCATTAATAATTTGTTAATGCTATCCCAGAATATAGTTTAATATATTATGCATGTATTAATTTTAATGTAGATAACAATTATTATAGACTTATTTTCTACATGCAGTTGTTTAGTTAATTTTTTATAATGTCTTAATTGAAATTATAAGGTAACATTTCCTGGTATTTCTTGTGATGTTCCATTGTAAAAAATGTTAAAGATTTTTTTAAACTGAATAAAACCAAATCAAGTCAACCAAGAGAGACAAAAATATGATTAATTAGTAACTGGTGTTTTTGCTTGGAGAACCTCTTGACTGTTATTTTTTTATAACATAGGTGTCCTACCTTATTGAATTGTTTTTTTTTAAAGACAAAATTAAAATGGGTTTGTGATTAGGCTTTTCTAGAAAAGAAAATAGAAGCCGAACAAATGCTGCTTAGAAAATTGAATGTTAGTTTGAGAAGATCAATTGTGAAATCCTCTAAAAAATAAAAGCCTTTTTTGTCATAATAACCTAATCAAAACATAGAGAAATTTGTCCATAAAAATTATTATATGATATATTCATCAGATTTGCTTTAATTTCAGTTGGGTTTCACTAGTTTCATTATATAATTACAATACTGAGAACATCTCTTTATCATCTCGTGGTTTATCAGGCCTGATGTTACCATCAGTATTGATGAGCGGCGGCCACAATATTTATTTGATTTACAGTATAAGCCATGAAGTACTCGCACCTGGGGTTGAAACATAGCGAGAGCCACTTCACAAACCTTCAACAGTGCAAATCGTGTAGCTAAGCACGGCTGGCTGAGAATGGTAAGCATGTGGTTTCAACGCAACCGGAATGGAAATCGCTGCACCAATCTGCCTTCCCCAAAGTCAATAATAATAATAATAATTACTTTATTTAAACACGGAAAAACTTGATCACCCAAGGGTGTTTTTCATCAAGGCCGTGCAAGGCCATAAGTGGTAAAATATAAAAATACAAAATACATAACAAAAGTATACATTAAAGAATTTGATTAAGTAATAAATGTGATTAAAATGTGAAATTAAATAGTATCTTTAGTTTAAAATAAATCAAAAACATATACATTAATTAATTTAATATACATACAGTAATTGATTAATTTAATATCAGAAGTTAGATTAGATTAATGATTTCTTAAATTTAATAGCTTCATATAGTACTGTATTTAATCACAAGGCCATTTTTTATGGCAGCAGATGCGCTAATTGTCCAAAAATAAAATTTTATTTTTATTTGATATTATTGTTATTGATGGGGTGCGGGTTCGCTAAAGAAGGTAAACTAAGTCTCGCCTTATCGTACATGTTATCATCACAAAAAAACAAAATTACACACAGAAAATATAGATACTTTAAACATAATTATTATACTTACGAAGATTGTAAAAAAATATAAATGTGAAAGCTAAACGTCTACAATTTAGTAAAGTAAAAATAATCTATACCAGCAATGGCAAAATGAATTGTGGGAATGGAGAAAATCCACTGAATGAAAAAGAAAGGAAAAAGATGAATAAAACAAAGCAAGAAAACCAATAAATAGTGATTTATACAGACTGTTAATACTAAATATACTTTAGTTTACTATAAATGTGGTTCAGTAATACTTTATACCGAGAGACACCATATTTTTTGCATCATGAGTAAATTTCCCATATGATTAAAATAAAAAGCAGTACTGGATTTGATCTACAGGAGTTCCTTCTTCGAACAGGTTATTCCATTCTTAGAAGAAGCGCCTGTTAATGGAGAAAGTGTACCTTTTTAGCAAGGCTTGCCTAGGTCGAAAATGCCTCCATCTATATAAAATTGATTAGAATATTGAAAATTGTTGTTCTTATATATAATGAATAGATAAGGAATACAGTGTCCATTTTTTATTGCTAATCTACTTTATGATGATCAAATTACAACCAAGAAAGAGCAGTTTATTGAACTACATTTCAACATAGTGTACAGTAAAGTACTATATAATTAAGAGAAGATAAGATAAGATAAGATTTATTGGTTCTCTCTTTTATAACAGAGGAACACTCTCGTGCAGGAGAGGTTCGACCCGTACAACAGTTACAAAACAACAACTGACAATATATAAAAATGAATTATTGAAATGATAAATGACTAAAGAAAAAATACTGGACAAACAAAACAAATGTTACTCTCATTATTCTGTAGCAATTATGGAATAACTTTATAATGTACAAAAAAAAAATAAAAAAAAAAATAGAGAATTCAATTACAGAATGTAAAGTAAATAAATAAATAAAAATGGCAAAAAATATAAGTTTATAAGTACAGTAAATAACATAAAAATTAAATATTGGTGGTAATGTTTTTCATTAGTTCAGTCCTTTCAGTCATTGCTTTTGTTAAATATGTTTTAAATATTCTAAAGAAAATGCAAAGATTTTCTTTAGAAAAATTCTAAAAAAATCCAAAATTCTGAAAAATTTGAACCAAGTCATTGAAACTCCCACTATGTTGGCATTTTATAAAGTTCGTGATTTTTTAATCTAAAACAAATGGATAAATATTTAATGAATTTAATTTACCTAAATCAGCCGACTGGTTACTGTATTATTGTGGCTTTGCTTAGTTCATGAAGAATTCATGTAGTGTAATTTAAGTAGATTTTGTCCATTACACGTAACTTTCCAAGATGATATTCTCTAAAGCCTGCATACACTGCGCCAAAGGTCATTGGCCGACATGATGCTACAGAACCGTGATCAGGTGCGTGCAAATCATGCCATCGACAGTCGGCAGACGTTGTCGAGTTACCGAGCGCTCGCAGACACTGAAGATGAATTATTCAACTGAAGGTTGTACGACCATCGTGCAACATAGTGCGAATTTCATTCGCAACCTACGGCAAGTAACTTATTAATTACAGAATGGACGAAGATTTATAAACCAAGTCTCCTTAGGGAGTGGACTGATTTTTGTTTAAAAAAATCCTGTCTGTCTCAGGAATTGAACCCTTGACCCTAGGATTAGAAGGCAACTCCAGAAGTATTGATTATTTCAGATGCACTATGTGCTTTTAGTGGCATACATGAGTTTGGAATTTTATACCAATATATGTTCTTAATATCCAGAAATAAATACCATAACTAAACAGTCAACATACAATAACATCCTTGTTTACGAAAAAAAAAATTTGGTCACACACATGCATCACCAGGTCACCTTGAATGACCCTCCAGGGCTCAAATCAGACAAAATAATATATTATAAAATCAGTTCAATACTATTGTCATCCATCCTATTTAAAAAAATAAATAACGACAGCTCACTTGCGTACATAGTATTCCCCAAAAGAACGCACGCCATGACAATAACAAATACACCATTAAGTGCTTAAGCGATCTTTATAACAACAATCTCAATCACTACATTATTTTTACGTACTCGTAGGACTTTAAGAACATTCTCGAGTCCAAGTTACTCATTAACTCATTAAGATGAACAATACACATTTGTACAATCACGATGTAAACATAAATACAGCATCAGAGCATTTGCCAAATATGCATTTGCAAAATACATAAAGATCTATTGGTGCCTATTACATTAAATAATAATAATAGGTCTAAAGCCTATATAATGCACCATTTATCTAGATAATACAATAAAAATAACAATAATAACAACAATAATAATAATAATACTGTATAACAATAATAATGCAAAATATTTATATAGCGCCAATTTCAAATTGAACGATCAGGCGCTGAGCATTATTACCCCTGGTCATTGCATAACATAACAATGTCAAACCAGCACAAAGTACAAACTTCTGTGTTTCCTGAGGAGACTATACCTAGTCGTGTGCTTGTACTCGGCGCACGAAACTAGTACATTCACTGCCACAATGTCCTTTTTCAGTGTACTTTACATTGTTATATTTTCATATTGAAATCAGTGGCATATCTAGGAGAGGTATGCAGGGACACTCCAAAAATAACTGTCCCCTTTCCCCAGTCAACTCCCCCTCCCCCCCAAAATTTAAGGTCAAATAGTGAGGTAGCGATTAATTTTATTTGACCTAACACCTGTCTGGTCTCACTTTTAAGCTTTGTCCAGGTTAATAAATTTTCTTTGACAAAAAAACTGTTGTATCATGCCCATATATAGTCATGATGTGCCTATATATTGTCATGATGTGATGTCATCATGACCTTATTTAGGCATGTCACATGTTAATAAACTTTGGCATTATGGCATTAGGACAAGTCATTAGCTGTATCGAGCACACTTTATGATCAGAAAAGCACTTGATTTCATTTATGTAAAAAATTTTATGGCTGCAATCATACAGAAATTAATAAACCCTATGCTGAAGACAGATCTTGTGTACGATCGCAATTTTGTTTGACATTTAGGTTTTGTTTGGGGAATCAAATTAATTTAAATATTTATGAACTATAAAAACCTAAACCGATAACAAAAATAATTACTGGTATGTAACAACTTTTCATTCTAAGTAATACTGTATTTATTTGAATTTTCAAAGCAATCAGACGTGACCTATTAACTATTATTTATGAATGTCGGCTGCAAAACTCCAAAATGAGAAACATTGAATGTTGTGAGGCCTTTGAGAATCAAATTGTCTACTGAATTCTGTTGCGGAAAGTAGGGGCTGCGTCAAAGTCCTAAATACAAAACCTAATTTTGTAATTTCTTAGAAATATTGCAATAGTCACAATTAGCCTTGCTATCTAGTTGTTACAGTTAATTTAGTATGTTTGTCGCTAGAATGTATCCAGGGTATATCTCTGACCAGCATGAAGCACCAATGAAGGACATAAAGTATTATCCCAGGAGATAACTTTTAGGAGTTGCGTTCCCCTGTCTAGTGAAGGCCTGTGTATGTATAACTATGCCTCATAGAAACTTGGCAGATTGGCCGAGAAAGCGGTTGGCTTAGAGGTATTGCTCCTTGTTTTGCTGTAGACCCTGGTTAAAACTAAACCACTGTCAGGTTTTAATGAGAGTTTGATCGCTCTGCTCCTCGAATAACCCTCATATTGAGAGTTAGATGAGCTAAGGACTATCTTTCTATCTGTGTACCTGTTTCATGTTTTAGTTCAAGTTGAGGGCACTGCACTGTGGTGGTAGTGGGTCCCCAGGTTTCTGATTTCCAATTTGAATGAGGATAAAATTACTAGATTATTAGATTTTTAGGTTGTGTCATAACGTAATAATTAGTTA